AAACACAAGAAACCAAATAACAGCAACAGCAACATTAGAGAACATCAGCAACAACACAACAGACTCACCTGAACAACCACCAACCAGCATACAGCACAAGTGGCATATAGCAACACACAATACAAGAGGATTCAACAACCCCCTCAAAAAAGCGCTATGGCAAAAATACTGCACAAACAACAAGGTGGACATAGCGGTAATCACAGAAACACAGATCACAAATGACTCCAGCAAGCATTGGAAGGTTCCAGGCTATCAAAGCTTTGCATCAGAAAACAACAAGGGAGCAGGAATTATTATCATGCTCAAAACAGAAATTACACAACACATAGGTGGGGTAGACAAATTTCCAGGAAGAGGCATCTGTATAGATCTATATTACAAAAACAACAACAAAGTCAGTATCATTGGAATATCTTTCAACAGCAACCGCAAACAATTCTTAAGTTGGACAAACCAAAAAATCTGGGAAAAAAACAAAGACTTCCTCAGACACATACAGATTTCATTATCCATCCAAAAAAGAATACACATGGCAAAATAACAATGGAGCTGCAACATGAATTGATTACATTTGGCTGTCTCCAAATTCAAACTGGTTCACACTGGAGGCACATATTATACTATCAGAGTTTATTTCCAATAGTGACCACAATATCGCTACATGCACAATACACATACCTATAGGAGATGATCAAATAATACCACACAACACATCTCTCAAAACAAATGCATTCAATAATAAAGCAACAAAGGCAAAGCAATGGAAGCTATTCCAAGAAAACCTGGACAAGAAAATAGAATGGCAAGAAGAATTACACAACACCACCCATATGTCAGTAGAAAGACTCTGGAACATCACCTGGAATAGTATCTGCACAGCAGCAAAAAGACATGTCAGGAAAGCAAATCCAAAAAAGACCCCACATGCAAACAAGGAAAAAACTACTCCCAATCATACAATCTCAACCAAAATATCAGCTCAGTTTATAACCTTGAGAAACTTGTACATCTAGCCAAAATATACATCAAAAGAAAGAGAAAATTGAATACAATAGTGAACAAAATCAACAAAATGACAAAATTCCTACAAAAACAAAACACATCCATAACAAACTTCCCTCTCCAGGAAAGTATCATCCAAAAAACAAGATGGCTGTAAGAAGTAAAAGACCTCTGGCAAGCAACAAAGAAGACAACCAACCAAGAACTACAAAACAACATCAACACTCAAATTAAAGAAGCCACCCAAGAAAATGATCAACAGCATACTATCATGAGAACACAAAACAATTGAAATGAACACAATCGTCAGAAACAACCATCATCACAGAACCAAAAGAAATCAAAGAACTGGCAAAAAAGTACTTCAGTCATCAACCAGTACACCACAACATGTCACAAATCCCCACAGAATGGCAAAAAGAATATAAGCCGAGGGACAATATACAAGAAGGCTGGTACACAGCAGTACTACAAAAAATACAACCATTAGAGATCAGAAAAACCATTGTCAAAACAAGCAAAAACTCAGCTCCAGGCCCATCAGCAATAAACTATGATATATTCAAACACTTGGGGGACAAAACCATACAAAGAATAATGCATGTCTTCAACAAAATCCTGGATACAACCTCAATTCCAACACAATGGCAACACAACCTGATGTATCCAATCCCCAAGAAAACAGACTGGCAACATGATCTCAATCACACCTGTCTAATTGTTCTAATGGAAACAATCAAAAAGATCTTTACAAAAATCATCAATAATAGGCTTGCAAAGGTCTTAACTCAACACCCAATCCTCTCGCCCCTCAATTGGGCAGGCCTGCCAGGAGGTGGCACAAATGAACCCATCTCAATAATAAATTACATTCTGGAAGATGCAAGACAAAACAAAAAGGAATGCTGGCTAATTAACCAAGACATCAGCAAAGCATATGACTCAATCAAACACAGCATCTTGAAAAAAGCATTGCAAAGAATCAAAACTTCAGAAAAAATGATCAAGATTATATTGAATCTCAACACAGATTGCAAAAACAGAGTAATCACATTTTATAGGTTAACAGATGAATACTCACCAACCAATGGCATAGACCAAGGTGATACAATCTCCCTACTGCTATAGTGCATATACTATGATCCCTTGATCACAAAAATAAGTGAACTCAAAATAGAATACAAGTTATACAACACAAGGTACAACCAATGGCTAGAAACAATCAGAGACCCTCAAGTCTAAATACCTGTGGTGGCATATATGGATAATGCAACATGGATCACAATGAACAAGAACAATGCACAAAAAATACAAAACATCACAGATGACACATTTGCCCAGTTCACAAATTTAAAACTCAACCCTGATAAGTCAACATTACTGACAATCAACAAAACAAAAGAAGCGACATTGGAGTCCACCAATCACAAGATCATCAAAACACAGAGAGATGAACCAATTCGAATCCTAGGAGTATATATCACACAATCAGGAAAAATGAATCACAAAAGCAGATCATTCAAGATAAAATCAACTATATCACCTATATCACCAAAACACTCAAAAGAAAGCACATTACAGATAAACAATGCAGATATATTCTCAATCAAGTCCTAATGCCTGCTATAGAATACCTGCTTCAAAACATTATACTGAGTGAAACAGAATGCTAACAAATAAACAGGAAAATTATAGTAGTAATCAAAAACAAAATCAACATAGCATGTACAGTCAGCACCGAAAGTGACGCCCGATTTTCAGGTATAATCACATGGACAGATAAATACGTTATGTTTACCCC